GAGATGAAAGGAAATAAATGTACAGAGTACTCGAAGCTAACTTTATTTGCAATTTATCGCTTAAGTATCAGAATCTAATGTAGTGAATGGTAAAATAGTTTAGCGCACGCAGCGTAGTCGTAGCCAACGCTAATGCTTTTTAACACTAACATGTACATCCCAGACAACACATTCCAAAGTCTCAGACTTCAGGATCATAAAGCCATTTTGTAGCGATAAAACAAATAAATGTAGAAGATTTCATGGGACACATTTCAAAGAATGAACGGATACATAATACAGTTAGAAGACCATGCATCCATGATGTAACAAAATCATAAACTTTATTTAAATAGAAAAAGAAAACAGTAAATGATTAGGCTCATCAAGCATGAGTGGGTGAAAATGTCTTTTAACCAAAAATCAAGAATGCCGCATTTCATAAAACGGCAAACAGAGCCAATCAACAAAAATATTTCTGGGCGCAGATACCATAAACCAGTACAAGCCTCCACTAATTGCAATTGCTGCTTGATTTTATTCCCTGCATCTTAAGCAAGACTCCTCAAGGGAGAGTACGCTGGAACAGAGGCAAAGCTCCCAGTGCCTCCCTTTCAGCTCTCTCCTTCTTCACCTGCCACCAATAGGAAGATGCCCATTAAGAGTTTCGTCACCGGAAAAAAAAAGGAACATGTTCATAAGATGCCATTATACGGCTTCAACTGACAAAATTTCATGGAAAAATGAAAATGAACAAAAGTAATTCTAGCGAAAATTCTGATTGTTACGCTCGTTTTTATCTGATTTGCTTTTTCTCAGTCGCCCTCAATCCAGTCATTATTTGCAAATCAATACAAACATCCCCAATTTTCTGTATTTCACCGCGCAAGTTTGATCGTTAGGTGAAGGACTGACATGACATAGTTCTGATATTAATCAATAGTATTTGAATCCAATCTTGATTTTGAAGAAATTGCTCGCATAGTAATAAGATATGAAACCCATGCAAAGGTAGTCAAAAAAAATTTCTAAAGACTACAATCGAAACACATCAGTTCCGTTAAGGTAATTGATGGAATAAACTGATCGCCTACCAATGTTAAGAGTCTCATTTCTCATACTTTATATTATACCTCACATTATACTTAACCCAGACCTGTTTGTCAACTCCCTTATTAAGACATAGAAGACTCTGATACAATTATGAACATATTCTGATCTCTTTTATCATATTCAAACTTCCTTAAAGGTAACTACCAAAATTGTTAATGATGTATATTGCATGGAGTCAATAACTTATTCGTTTAGGGACAAAAGGAGGTCTTCAAAGAGTTTTATTACCAGACAATGTTTTAAAAAGCTAGCATCTTTCCCACCTAGACACACGCCTAGGCTTAGGCGGTACCTAAGTTGCCTGGCTAGGTCTTGGAAGCGCCTAGGGGATTGTGTGCCGCTTAACGCGGACTGCATCGCTTAAGACCCTGACTATAATTTCTTCAAGTACAGTCTCCACGTCTTCCAACATCCTTCAAACTCCTCTTGCCTTCTTCACTCACTATGCACACCTCATCTACATCCTCCAACTTCCAAATAACCTCCACCACCACTTAAGGGAATAAAAAAATCCACTTAGGCGCTAAGCGCCAATCCAGTGCCTAGCGGGCCTGGCGTTTTCTATAACATTGAAATTTATTATCAGTTATCAATTATTCTAAGTAAGAATTTAAAAAAAAAAGGATAACCCTAGTCCCCGCCTAGGCCCTAGGCACCAGGTCTGACACCTGCACAACGCTTTCAGTAACCTTGATCGAAAAGTACAAAAATGAACAAAACTTGAGAATTATAGCCCTCAAAAATTGTGAATTTTCGAGTTTGCATATTTAATTGTGATTTGGACGAAACAAACTCTGCCAATGCTGTTTGTCAGCAGACTCAGCACTGCCTATTTCAAGCCAGGATAAAGGAGAAGGGTTGTGTTAGGTAGCCGGCAGCCAGTGTAAAACATAATCAGATTCACATGTAAAATGAATCTTATTATATACTCGTTGGGGCGTCCCCGCCGCGACGCGTTGCATCGATCCCACCCCGATGCAATGATAAGTAAGCAATGATGGATTGCTAGGGCGTCCCCCGGAAGCGACGCGTTCATCGATGTCACCCCGGTGTAATGACAACTAAGCAAAGGTGTTCTAAGGATCTATAATCCTCTAATAGAATAACTAATAATATTAGGCATATACAATCCTCTAATAGGATAAGTAATAATATAGGCATAGACTAGAACGGCCCAAGAGGGAAAATGGTAAGAAACTTTTACAAGAAAATAGAATTAGATTAGCTACTTGGAATATAGGTACACTTAGCAGAAAGACAATAAAATTAGTGGATGTCATGATTAGAAGAAACAAATATAATTAGTTTACAAGAAAAACTAAATGGATAGGTGAAAAATCTAGAGAAATTAAAAAGACCGGATATAAACTTTGGTATACGAAAAAAAGAGAAGAATAAGTAAGGAGCGGAAGTTATTGTAGATAATATAATAAAAGAAAATGTTGTTGATGTAAGAAGAGTTGGAGATAGAATAATACTAATAAAAGTTATCTTAGGTGTAGAGGTTATTAATATTATTAGTACTTACACACCACAAATAAGCTTGCCCGAAAGTACTAAAAGGAAATTTTGGGATAGATTAGATGAATTAGTATAAAGAATCCCATTTTGAGAGAAATTACTTATAGGAGGGAATCTTAATGGGCATGTTGGTAAGGATAATAACGGATATGAGAGGATACATGGAGGTTTCGGGTATGGAGATAAAAACGATATGGGTAAATCAATTCTAAAGTTTGCAATATCGTATAATTTGATAATAGCAAATACACCTTTTAGAAAAAGAGATGAACACTTAATAACCTTTAAAAGTGGTTTTAATAATAGTCAAATAGACTTTTTTCTTACTAGAATGACGGATAGGTTAACATGCAAGGATTGTAAAGTTATACCAATAGAGAGTTTAGGTACACAACATAGATTGATGGGCTTAGACATGTCTATTAAAAAGTGGAGTAGAAAAGCTAACATGAACAAAAAACTAAGAACTAAATGGTAAAATTTAAAAGGAGAGAATTTAATACATTTTAAAAATAAGATAATTAAAGAAGATATATGGAACATAGATAATGAGACTAATATTATGTGAAATAACATGTCTTCTTGTATTAGAAAAATAGCTAAAATATACTAGGAGAATCTAAAGGTTGTAGATTATATGGTAAGGAGAGTTGGTGGTGGGATGAGAGCGTGCAAAAGGTTATTAGAGAAGAAATATTTATATAAAGAGTGGCAAAAGTGTAAAACTAGGGAAAACTTAGAAAAATATAAACTAATAAAGAAGAAAAAAGGGTTAGTAAGAATAAATACAAAGGTTATGAAATTTTTTATAAGAAAGAATCTAAGGAGGGAGAGAAAGATATATGTAAGCTTGCAAAGATTAGAGAAAGGAAGAGTAGAGATTGGGGTAATATTAGGTGTATTAAAAGTGAGGATTAAAGAGTTCTAGTGACCGACGGAGAAATAAAAGAGAGGTAGAGGGATTACTTTTATCAATTGTTTAATGATAACCAAACAAGTGAGCAAAATAGAGATTTTGACCATATAGTGAATGATAGGAACTACAGATATTGTCATAAAATGAAGATTAGCGAGGTTAAAGATGCTCTAAAGAAAATAAAAAGTGAACGAGCCGTCAGACCGAACAATATCCCTATTGAAGTTTGGAAATATCTTGGAGATATAGGCTTAGGATGGTTAACTAAACTATTTAATAAGATTATTGAGACAAAAAAAATACCGGATGAGTGAAGGATTAGTATTTTGATACCGATATATAAGAAAAAACGGGATATACAAAGTTGTTCAAATTATCGAGGTATAAAACTCACGAGTCATACTATGAAACTTTGGGAGAGGATAATTGAGCAAAGACTAAGAAAAGATATATCTGAAAATCAATTTGATTTATGCCTGGGAGGTCAACTATGGAACCTATATAAATTTTGAGACAGTTGATGGAGAGATATAGAGAGAAAAGAAAGGATCTACATATGATTTTTATCGATCTAGAAAAAACTTATGATAGAGTATTTAGAGAGGTAATGTGGTGGGTATTAGAAAAGAAATATGTATCTAGTATATATATTGATGTGATTAAAGATATGTATGATGAGTAACTAGAGTAAGAACTAATGAAGGAGAGACTAAACTATTTCCTATTACCATAAGTTTATACAAAGGGTCAGTTTTAAGTCCTTATCTTTTTGCATTAGTTATGGACCAACTTACTAAGCACATTCAGGATGAAATCTCATGATGTATATTATTTACTGATGATATAGTATTAGTTGATAAAATTAGAAGAGACATTATTTATAAAGTAGAAAGATAGAGACAAACTTTTTGAGTCTAAAGGTTTTAGAATTAATAGAACAAAAACAGAATATATGGAATGTATTTTTAGTAAAAGTAGGAAAGAAAAAGAGCCTATGGTACATATTGATGGCTAAGAAATACCTAAAACTAATCATTTTCGCTATTTAGGATCTATCATTAGGCATGATGGTGAGATAGAGGAAAGAAATACCTAAAACTAATCATTTTCGCTATTTAGGATCTATCATTAGGCATGATGGTGAGATAGAGGATGATGTTGTGCATCTTTCGCTATTTAGGATCTATCATTAGGCATGATGGTGAGATAGAGGATGATGTTGTGCATCGAATCAAATCGGAATAGTTGAAATGAAGGAGTGCTTAGGGAGTCTTATGTGATCGTAGAACACCAATGAAACTAAAGGGAAATTTCTATAGGACGATTATAAGACCAACTATACTTTATGGGTCAGAATGTTGGGCAATTAAAAACATGTTAAAAAATGTGTAGCAGAAATGAGAATGTTGCGATGGTCTTGTGGGTATACATTAAAAAATAAGATAAACAATGAGTACTTCTGTAGTAAATTAGGGGTTGCGCCTATTGAGAATAAAATGAGAGAGAATAGATTAAGATGGTTTGGTCATGTACAAAGGAGACCCCTTAGTGTACCAATTAGAAAAATTGATAATATTAGAGTTAATAGGGCTAGGAGATCTAGAGGTCGACCTAGAATGACTTGGTCAGAAGCAATTAAGAATGATATGATTAAGACTAACATAATGAAGCAAATGACCCGCAACAGAATGGAATGAAAATATAGAATTCATGTAGTCGACCCCAAACATTTGGGATAAAGGCTTGGTTATTGTTGTTGTATTTGGACAAAACGGGAAAATTTTCATGGTTTATAACCTACAAAAATCGCAAATTTTCAACTCTGCGCAAATAATTATCATTTGGACAAAACAAACAAAAATAAAGAAAAAACGTCGGTTATAACAAAATAAAATCGATAGTTTTCTAGTTTTCTTTATTGACTGCCCTTTGGTCGAAACAGGAAAAAAAATGAACTAAAATCATTGGTAGGACATGAAGATCGCGAATTTTCTAGTTTGCATAATTATTTGGCACTTGGTAGAAATAGTCAAAAAATCAACAAAAATCATGAGTTATAGCTCTTGGAAATTGCTAATTTTCGAGTTTGCGTAATTAATTGTCATATTTTTGAATCGTACAAAATGGAGAAAATTCATAGGCTACAACCCACGAAAATTCATAATTTTTGAGTTTTCACAATTGTTATTTGGTCAAAACATACAAAAATAAACAAAAACAGTGAATTATAGCCCTTGAAAATAGCAAGCTTTTGAGTTCGCGTACTAAATTGCCAGTTGGTCTAAACGAAAAAAATGCAAGAAAATCATGCGTTATAGCCCACTAAAATTGTGAATTTGTGATTGTAAATAATTAGCATTTGGTTGAATGGAACAAAAATAAACAAATTCATAGGCACATAATTTTCCTATTAGATTAATTAATTGTCATAAATTATAGTCATTTGGCCAAAACGAATAAAGGTAGACAAAAACCATGTGTTATAGGCCACAAAAGCTGTAAATTTTCCAGTTTGCATAATTAATTGCCATTTGGCTTAAATGGACAAAAATCGTGAGTTACAGCTCACAAAAATCACTAACTTCGGAGTTAAAAGTAATTCACATTTTGTTAAATAATACAAAATGAAAAAAATTTATGGGTTATAAAGCTAAAATTGATAATTTTTGCATTTGCATAATTGTCATTTGGCTGAAACATACAAAAATGAACACAGAACGTAAATTAAAGCCCTTCAAAATCGCAAAATTTGGAGTTTGCAATTGTGCCATTTGGTCAAATGGAAAGAATGACAAAAAATAATGGGCTATGACCCTGAAATTCGCGATATTTCGAGTGTGCGTAACTAATTGCTATTTGGTCGCAACGAACAAAAACAAACAAAAATCGTAAGTTATAGCCTACAAATCCAATAATTTTCCAATTTGCTTAATTAATTACTATTTGGTCAAAATGTATAAAAATGAAAAAAAATAATGGGTTATGGGTCATGAAAATAATGAATTTACCCGTTTGCACAATTAATTATCATCTGATCGCAATGGAAAAGGCTCGTGAGTTATAGCCTATGAAAATCATTAATTTTGGAGTTTTTCTATTTAAGTGTCATTTTGTTGAAACACTTAGAATGGACAAAAACTGTGGGTTAGAGCCCAAGAAAATCGATAATTTTCGAGTTTGCATATTTAATTGGCATTTGGTCGAAATGTCCAAAACGAATAAAAATGGTTAATCACAGCTCTTAAAAATCACGAATTTTCTAGTTTGCACATTTAATTACCATTTAGTCGAAACAAAAAATGCGAAAAAAATTATCAGTTATAGCCCACTAAAATCGCCAGTCTTCGAGTGTGCATAACAAATTGCTATTTGGTAGACATGAATAAAAAACGTATAATGTGGGTACAGACCACAAAAATTGATAATTTTCTAATTTGCTTACTTGTCATTTCGTTGAAATAGGTAAAAAAGGACAAAAATCACGATTTATACGCCATGAAAATCACAAATTTTCCTATTTGCACAATTCATTGTCGTTTGAATGAAATGGAACAAAATAGAAAAAAATCATCAGCTAAAGCTCACAAAAGTCATAAATTTTGGAGTTTTCATAGTTAATTACAATTTTGTCAAAAATGTACAAACATGAAAGAAGTCGTGGGCAACCCACTAAAATTGATAATTTTCGAGTTTGCATAATTAACTGCTATTTGGTTGAACATGCAAAAATGAACAAAAAGTGTGAATAATAGCCCTAGAAAATCACAAATTTGAGTTATCATATATAATTGTCATTTGGTTGAAACAGAAAATCGTTAAATTTTGAGTTTTCGTTTATAATTATTATTTCGTTGAAAAAAATGGATGAAAATCATGACTTGCCAACGGAAATCACGAATATGAGTGTAAGTAACTGCGAATGAACAAAAGCAAATAAAAATCAAGGGTTACATACCACAAAAATCAATAACTTTCTAGTTTGCTTAATTAATTGACATTTTGTTGAATGGATAAAAGTGCAGAAAAGTCATGCATTATGTGCCATGAATATCGCGAATTTTCCAGTTTGCATAATTAATTGTCATTTACTCGAAAGGGGCAAAATGTGAGTTATAACTGATAGAAATTGCTAATTTTAAAGTTTGCGTAATTAATTGTCATAATGTCGAAACGTACAAAATAAATAAATTTCACAAGTTATATTACCTAGAAAATCGATAATTTTCTAGTTTCCATAATTAATTTCCATGTGGCCAAAAAGTATAAAAGTGAACAATATCATAAATAATAACCCTCAATATTTGTGAATTTTCAAGTTAGCATATTCAAATGCCATTTGGTCAAAACGAAAAAAATGACAAGACATTGGATTATAGCTCACAGAAATCGCAAATTCTTTAGTGTGCGCAAGTAATTATCATTTGGTTGAAACAAATAAAATAAGAATACGTCGTGGGTTATAGCCCGCAAAAATCAATAATTTTCTAGTTTTGTAGTTAGCCTAATTAATTGCCACTTGGTCCGAACAAATAAGAATAAATAAAAATCATAGATTATGGAAGACGAAAATCACGAATTTTCCAGTTTGCATAATTAACTGTCATATTGTTGAAATGAAACAAATTGTGTTATATCTCATAGATCACTAATTTCGATTTCGAGCAATTAATTAGCATTTCATTGAAACATGCGAAATGGAGAACCCTCGAAAATTGATAATTTTTGGTCGAATTAATTAATGTACAAAAATAAACAAAAATCATGAATTATAGGCCTTGAAAAGCGTAAAATTTTTAGTTTACGCATTTAATTGCTTATTAATCAAAATGGGGGGAAACACGTGTTATAGCCTATGAAATCATGAATTTTTTAGCGAGCATAAGTAATTACCATTTGGCTAAAATGGGCAAAAATCGTCAGTTATAGCCAGCGAAAATCGATAATTTTCTAGTTTGCTTAATTACAGCCATTTGGTCTAATGTGAGAAAACATGGACAAAAATTGTGAATTTTCTAGTTTGCATAATTAATTGCCATTTTTTTTAAAATGGACAAAAATCGTGAGATATATCTCATGAAAATCGCTAATTTTGCAATTTGTCAAATTAATCGCCATTTGTCAAAACGTACATAATGGACAAAATTCATGGCTTACAACCCACGAAATGATAGTCAATTGCTATATGATCGAAATTACCGAAGCTTGTCTAATCAGTGCATGTAATGTAAATGAATATAGATATCAAACTATCATCAACTGACTATAAAAAGATATCACAAAGATACAAACAAAAAGGTGAGAGTATTAGTCCATAAGAACTACTTGCAAGAGCCAGTATAGGTTGAGGATAGCTTCTAAAGATAAGTTTCGAGTAAATTGCTATATGATTAAAATTACCAAAGCTTGTCCTATCAATGTAGGTAATGTAAATGAATATAGATATCAAACTATCATCAACTGACTATAAATGGATATCACAAAGATAAAAACAAAAAGTCGAGAGTATTAGTCCATAAGAACTACTTACAAGAGCCAGCATAGGTTGAAGATAGCTTCTAAAGGGAGTTTGTAGTGCCTGTTAGGAACAAAGGAACTTATCCAGGTTAGTCTTGATAATTAAAATTAGAACTGTGACTAGAAAAAAAATAAATATCATACATATGTATGTTCATAAACATGCCAAAACTAGATGTAACACCACGACAATATTAAGTTTGAAATCTTCCTAGGAAAACATATTTCAATATAATTAAAAATTTTGCAATATTGGCAGCAAAAAAGGTGTTGCACAATTCAAGAAAGGGGAACTATTAAGCTCATTCAAATAAATAAAAGTCTCTAGTTAAGTACTTATTATCGGTATCATTGTATGTTTACACTCTTGAGTCTTGAAGGTAATAGTAGCACGTATTTAGCAGGAAGCAAATGAACGATCCACGAAGGCTACCACATTAAAGATGAAAAAAACCCTAAAATATGCATGAATAGTCGAAGACACACTGAGTTGTCAATGCATAGGTACAGCTTTAGTGTATGTCAATTGTCAAGTGTTCTAAGTTTATACAAGGCGTATCATAATTCCTTAGTTCTGGTATATTCCAATAGCAAATTAGTTCATTGGGAACATGCACCTCGTTAGTTACATGAGAAACACAAGCCAAAAGGTTGAGTGGTACTTATTAGATACACGACCAAACAAAGTTTTTTTTTAATATCCAGCTGATTAAGAAATTATTGCCAATCTCACCAATAATTTTTGAAGACTCAGGCAGAGGTCAAACAAGAAAAAAGAACTGAACCGAGGCATTCAATAGAGAAGACCATAGGCTAACATCCATATAATTAACCAAGAAAAAATGGAATAAAATTCCGCTTCACACTTGGTTGCTCCCAATGTTCTATGTCGTCATTAGCGCTCATCTGATGTTGGAATCTCATCAATTTAGTTTAAAATTCTGCCACTTCATCCACCCATCATTCATCATCCAATTCAATGCTCAATGCAGTGTTTTAGACAGCTTGTTTCCTTCACAGAATCAGAGGTGACCTTTCTCATTTGAAGAAAGATGTGCTATAATAGCATCATAGACTACTAAACTACCCTGCTTGAATAAAAATAATTCAACTTATATAACATCCTCTTTATATATATATATCCAACAGATATGAAAACAGCTGCCATTATCTGAAGGGATGACAACAACTGACGGCCATTTTAGTTTTTTGTTATCATTAATTGAAAACAATATCTATTTTATCCATAATTAAACGTGCCTTTTCAGCTTTCATGTGCCATGCACCATCATCAATCCTGTCAAAATCGCCCCCCCCTTTTAAATGGCATCCGCATTTTCCCAAACCCATAGCCAGGGGCGGATCCAGGATTTTAGTTCTGGGGGGACCGCGTACAAAAGATAGATAAAAAATTTTCTTAATGTAATTTTATTCACAAGAGATATACCACAACCTAAATAAAACGAGTAGAATAGCCAACATCAATATCTCCAAAATATTTCAAAAGAGGAAGACAAATATTATATAGAAAATAGTCAAATAAGCATCATCTATTTTTTTATAACTAAAATTTCTCTAACTAAAAGGAATTCGACGTTCCTTAAAATTTTTAAAGTCTTCAATGATAGCATCAATGCTCAGACTTTTAGCAATTTCTCTTTCAATAAACACCATTAATACATCGGAGAGGAAAGCATCATCCATTTTGCTTCGAAGCCTAGTTTTGACGATATTCATAGCTGAGAATGATCGTTCTGCAGTAGCAGTAGAAACTGGAAGAGTAAGCACAAGTACGATCACTCTAAAAATGAGGTCGTATGTAGCAGATTTATTAGTCTTTACCAACCATTGACACAACTCAGAAATGGTTGAAAGAGTTTTGAAATCTGACCCTTTGACTACATTATGCTCATAATGTTTCAGTTACATCTTCAAACTCTCTTTTTCTTCACTTGTAAAATCTTGTGCATAAAACTTGACAATAATGCTCTTTTCTTGAATGAATCATTAGTGTCCACAAACCACTACACAATAGACATTTGCTCTTTTTTTTGACTCATCACGGGCTTCATCAACAATAATGCAATACTTGGCAACTCCAATTTCTTCACGAATTGCATTTTTCAATCTCACTGAAAACACATGAAGTATTTGTTTTTGAATATCATGACTTGTATATTTGGCATTTTTGGGAGCTTTCGCAATTGCCTTTGAAAATTCGTCATTCTCCATGGCCAGCACATCCAAAAATTCAAGAAAATTATCACGATTGGACGAACTAGATTTCTCATCGTGGCCTCTAAACGGAATCCCTTGGAGTGCAAGCAATCACACCACAAGTATGTGAGCTCTTAACCGAAGACGATTTGTTGCAACTTGTTCAGCATTGAAGTTGTCGAATCATCTTGTTATATGCTGCGGTTGGTTCATCAAATCCTCACATGCTTTTTCAGCATTACGATGGAGTGAAGATACATTATCTTTTCCTATTTCAATGAAATCCCCTTTATTAATCTCTTAAGAATAACCCCCTTTATTAATAAACCCCCTTAAGAATAACCATTCGCTAAATACCTCTTCATAAATTTCCAATTTCAATGAAACCTCCTTTATTAATCTTGTTGCTGCTCATGGTAATGTATTTACTATTAATATATACATAAAACCCCTCAAATAATTAATATTCACAAACTAATTTTTCCCCAAATTAGGAATAGAGCACCCTAATTCCCCCCACCTCACCCCCAAAAAAAAAAAAAAATTTGAGGGGGCTTGAGGAATAGAGCACCCTAATTTTTTTTCCCAAATTTTGGGGGGCCGTGGCCCCCCCTAGACTGTATGTAGATCCTCCCCTGCCCATAGCCACACAGGGCAACACTATATGCATTTATTTCAGGTCTAAGCATCGATCCATCACGAAAACCCATAAAACATAAAATTGAAGCTTTTCCATCTACCTAGCATTTCCCCAGCGATGAAGCTTTTCCTCACATATCCACAATTTAAAAAGAAAAAAAAAGCAGAAATTACCTGGAGCTCTTGAGGAAGATACTCGTGCTTCATCGAGAGATCCATGGCGCGCTTGATGCGCTGGTGCCTAGCATCAACGATCTCTCGAGGAAGCCGATTCAGCGCCTCCTTGATGTCCAGATCCTCCATGGGATCGTGGAGGTCATCGTAGCGCAACCCTAACCAAAGCAATAAAAAAATTAAACAAACTGATGATGAATTTGGTGCTCAGATCTAAAACCGGATCCAAAAGTTTGCAGAAATGAAACCCTAACCGTATTTCTTGAGGCGAGTGGCGACGGCGTTGCGGTGCATGGCGGCCAAGGGGTTGCGACGGGGGTTGAGGATCCATTGAACGAATGAAGATTGCGCCATTGATTTTGATCGATTGCTGGATTTTGATTTAGGGTTTATTTGCTTCTCTCCTTTCGGATTTGGGATCGATGGAAGGGGGGAGGAAAGCTTTCCGAAACCGAGAAAGTGGGCGAGCCTGGTGTAATGGGCTTTTACTATCGTTTTGGGCCCAATATTTCCTAGAGTGGGCTGGCTTGGGGCTCACAGTGTGTACACTCCTGAGTAAAAATCCTTGTGAGGGTAGGCAAAAGTGAAGTATGATAGGAAATTCCTCAATCATTAGTTGAGTTTTTAAGAAAAATTTTCATTGTATTTGGTAAAGTGGTAATTTTAAATTGAATGGGCACTTCTATCCAATTCTTCTCTCGTTGAATGCAATCCCCCCTTTTCCTCTCTCCTCTCTCTCTCTCTCATCTCTCTCTCCGAGTCTCTCTCGTCCCCTGCGCTCTCATATAATACTCATATATATATATATATGATATATAATATATAATAAGAGACGAGGAGAGAGAGAGAGATAGTTAATGGGTATCATTCATATGAGGGGAGGTTTCCTTCTATGACGCACCGCCACATCCTAAAACACATGAATTGAGAAGGCACATAGTGGATGAATCCGCTCCGTTGAACTTGATTTACATATTCTAAACTCCAACACAACTCGCCACCACCCCTCCCGGCACGCAAGTTTGGGCGTGAACACGTCGTCGTTTGACCCTTCATCCACTCAGCTATCAATTTTACGGTTTTTTTGATGAATAGACTTTTGCACCATGGCTCGATGGAGGGTCCAAACGACGATCGGATCTTCACCAATCTTGGTGTGTTGGGTTTAAATAATGTAGATCAAGCTTTAACCGGGAGCGGATCATCCATAATGTCGGCTCATCATGTGATTTTAGAGACGTCAAGGAAGCGAAAATCCCCTCCTATGGCAAGGATACCCATTAACTCATATAATACTACTATATATATAATATATATATAATACTATAATAATAGTATATATTAATATATATATATACTACATATATATATATATTATATATATTATATCACTATATATCATATACTATATTATATTTTCTCTAGAGGTTCTATTATTTTCATTCTCCAACGCTCTTTCTTAAATTTAAAATTGGGGACCCAAAAATAGGACAGATAAAAGGGGACAGGTGAGGTGTCCTTCCTTAATTGCATAATGAGCTGGTCATTTTCGGATCCATGGGGCATTTTTCTTTAAAATTTCATGCATAATTCATTTGAAAATTATATGATTGACAAAGGGAAGCACAACATAAATATACACTAGGTAGTGACATATTTAAAACGAGTCTCATTTAACATGCATATAATATGATAATAATGGGTATGCTTGTAGTTGATGTGGTCATTTCTCATCCGCCCATTTAATAGGTGGATAATCAAATAGGGACTATTTTTAAGTGGGCACATCTACTTCTTTATTACTAAAGGAGAACAACAAAAAAACATCTAATGAATAGTAACTTTCAAAAATAATCTAAAAATGGTTCCAATAACCACTATCTAACACCCACTCTCACAACAGTTATTGCTCCCCTTGAATCGGAGAAGAACCAGCGATTTTCCACTCTCTTTCTCCTCCTTCAGATCTCCCGTGATTCGTCGACGCTGATGTCATCCTCCAATAACTCTCTGTTACCAATCTCAAAGTTGAATCTCGATCAAACAGCAAAGCAATGGGCGATGCGATTCCGGTCATGGTCCAGCGAGGGTTAGCCGACAAGCTGTACGAGAAGCGAAAGATCGCCGCTCTCGAGGTGTGAATTTTTTAAGGTTTTGTGTGAATTTTTTAGGGTTTTGTTTACTTCTTCGGTCGATTTAGGGCTTTGTTTGAGTTTTTAGGGTTTAGGCTGCTGTTAAATGTAGATTGAAGGGATAGTGAAGCAATTAGCAGTCACTGGCGACCATGAGAAGATAAGCGTTGTGATTAGTATTTTGACCATGGAGTTTACTTATTCACCACAGACGAATCATTGAAAGGTTTATTTCTTGGATTCTCTATTTTTTTATTAAAAATTTTTGGGTTCTTAGAAGATTGTAAAGTTTTGTTATTGTGTGTAGGGAGGATTATTAGGGCTTGCTGCAGTGACAGTTGGATTGGCAACAACAGCTCCCCAACATCTTGATGTAAGAATTTGAGTAGTGCATTTGTTTCTTTATGTTACTGTGCTATGAAAATGTAAATAAATATGCTGTAAATAAATAAATACACGAAACTTAGATGGATTCTTAAGAAAAACAGCAAGAAATGTGATAAATTGAAATGAAATAAATTATCTGATGGCGTGTTATTCTAGAATTTGTTTGGTGCACTTATCTCTTGGTTAAATGTTTCTTGAATTCTCTGTTGAATTTATCTTCGTGCATAGATTATTTGTTATTGTAGGTAGACAAGAAATGCATGAACTTAGATGGATCATGGTTGTTTCCCTTCCCAAAGGATAATTCAGGGCATGTGAGGCTGATAACTTCAGTTTATTATTGAAATGAGCTCTTAGATATCACATTTTTTATAGTTTCAATATTGCTAGGCTAGAGATTAGCTGCTTATATATCTTATGAAAGAAATTACCCACCTGGATATGATATTTGCATTTACTAATTACATAGCAGACGGGGAGTTTATTTTGAGGCAAAGACATGGGAAAATAATGAAGCAATTAGGTAGTGGGAACTTAAGGAGTAATGATATATTTAGCACATTATATCATGGGAAAATGTATCTTAATTTCTTTTGTTGATTTAATCTACTCCTAATCTACTTTTGATGTTTAGGGGTTATTGATCTAATACAATCTGCTTTTGATGTTTTTGATGTGTTCTTGATTTTAGTAATGATTCAAATTCTATGATTTCTATTTCAAATTGTATTTGATCGAAGCTTATTTTTTGGAAAATAAGAGAAAATAAGAGTGATATAGTTAAGATTTGAGCATTAATTAGAATTAGGGATGATTGGAACTCATTATTTATCCAAAATTAGCAAACACAAATTAGAAGAAAAAGAGGATGTTGATTTAGTGTACTTTTCTCCCTAATTTTTAATTGCAAGATGATTTGCGCCTTCGATATATTTGAGCTAATGCAACCTAACATGTAAAGTAATGACTGAAATTATCATCCTTTGTATCCTTAACCTTAAAGATATTAATTGAATGTGTTGAGGTGATCATTTTTGTGTGTGCCTCCATCATGGATAGTTTATATAACCTGCGTAAAGAACACGCTTCATTGACATATTGCTCGCAAATTGTAATCCACCAAATATACCCTCCATAATTTAGTCAACATCAAAAGCTGTATGTTGGCCTTTTTCATGTTTTTCTGCCATAGTAATCCGAACTATCAAACTATTGGAAGAAATTCTAAATTTATCATACATTAGATATATAAATGCTAATGACGTGTGCACAAGATATACCAGTGTTACTGATGATAAATAGTTTTTTTAATTCGATTAACTTCTATAGAAAGTGCGTTGTAGATGTTCTCTACATTCAAAGACATAGAACATCTATTTGTGAGTATCTTCTGTTTACAGTGACAAAGATTTGTTGTCATACTTTTGAGTCTAATATATAGTTTTAATTAATATGAGCATTATGGACTGAGGAATTAGTGTTCAATTAAGTATGTAGAATATTTTAACGCATCTATCAGCTGTGTACATACATCTATGAAAATTCTAAAAGGTACTGTACAATTATGGTGTCTACCCTCGCATATATATGTTCAATATGTTTCTAACCACTTATGTATGAATTTGATTAACGACGAATGTGAAGAAAATATTTCCCCACTTAAAACCATGCTTCTTAACATACTTAAACTGTCTTTACATTCTTGCAAGATAATTTACTAAACTATATTCAAATTGTACTTTATAGTAACACATTGTTTCGTGCTACGGCTTTCAGTATTAGGGGATCTTTCTTACTTGATAAAACTATTAAGTGCTTATACTAATGGAATTAAATCTTGATGCAGGAACTAGGTATCTAGCCTTCGATAAAGGAGCACAAATTTTGGACACATAAGATCATTTGTGTACGGTAAAATCAGTTTCTCCTGGGAATTTGCAGAAAATCTTTTAGAAACCGTGCTTTACACAGGTCTAAATACTAGTTTAAATGTATGGAGAAAAAGCATCCGCGTCACTACCAAACAAAAATTTTATGTTTGGTACGAAGCATACCCATTATTCTCATAAAATTGTTAGATCTACATCATAAAACTTGAGATCTAAAACCATATAGCCATGATTAATTCAAAGAGATTGGTGACGCAAAGAATCACGCAAAACTTCGTGCCAAGTTGGATTTCAAATCTGGACTTATGCAAAATAGGCATTCGGAGCCCGTTAAGTACTCGCATAACGCCACAAGGGGGTGGTTCTAAACGTGGCGACTGCCCGAACATAACTTTGATCGGCTTAAAGACAAAAATAAATTGTGCCTGAGAATGCCAAGGACACAAAGCAAGGTTTTATACTCCAAGAAGAAGAGCGCAATTCACCAATGATTATCGTCATACCTGGGAGATCAATACCAAAAGACGATACGAAATTTTTGCAATCAATACCAATGAATCGTATTATCAAATTGAGGTTGTGAAAATAATTTTCGAAGGAGAGTTATTCGAGAGATAAACTCTCGTTGTTCCTTTGTGCACGGACTCGTCAAAACAGCATTATCAGAATGTGATGTTTCAAACGAGAAATCAATGCCACGAAAAGTCTCTGCATTATGCAAACCTAAGCTGAGAAATTTGCCGCAAAAAGAAAATCAGCTGGCCGCAACAATGATGATTCCTGAAGTCATCCATCAACAAGGTAAGGCTGATAGAAAGAAAGTCTAAACGCATTCAAATGATTCAATCCCGGACTTTTTCCCGCGAAAGGAAAAGTCATCCAAGAATTGCTGCCAAAAAAAGGAATGTCCTCGACTCAATTAGAGCTTATCAGACCAGAGACTACAAGAGAATCCAAGAAGGAATGTCTCGGAGGATGGAATTACTCGGACACTTATTCGCAATCGCTTCTGATGATAAATGTCTAGCCAGCAGGACAAATCAGAGAAGTTTCACAAT